AAATGTCTTCTCATCAAGTTATCAAAGTTTCAAATCAGTGAGGAAATCATTTCACACAAAACAGGTTGGGGACTCTATATAAGCTGAGGTCCCGGGCCAGAGAACTTATCTATGAAAGTATAACCTAGAAGAAATTCTTGAAAAAGAAAGCATTACTAAAATAAATGGTACAATTTTTTAAAAAGTGAATTCTAGAAATGTCAATCCCAGTTAAAACTGTAGTATAGGGCCGGGGATTTAACTCAGTTGTTCAGCCGCTTGCCTCGCAGGTACAAGGTTCTGAGTTCGATCCCCGGTACCAAAAAAAACCCCCCAAAAACCAAAAAACTGTAGTATGCATGTATATATATAATTTTAAAAATACACACACATAAGCAATTCTGTAAAAAATACACATAAGCAATTTTTTTTTGGTACTGGAGATAGAACTTGGGACCTTGTGCTTGTCAGGCAAGCGGCAGACGCACTGAGCTAAATTCCTGCCCAATATCATAAGCAATTTTAAAATGCAGTGATCCCTCAAAGACAACACGGGTTCTCAAAATACTTCAAGTCAAATTAATTCCATTACCCTTTCTGAGCTACCATGAAAGAAATAAACATAAATTAACAATCATCTATTTATTCAACAGCAAACATTTATTAAACAAACACATGTAGGGACTAGGGATAACTTAGTGGTAGAGTGCTTCCCTAGCATGTTTAAGACCCTGGGTTTGACCTTCAGAGGGTGCGCACACACGCGTGCACACACAAAGCTAAGCTAAATAAACAAGGATGTGCCAGGCACTATGCTAGGAGCTTTCCATATTGTGACTGTCAATGTAACCCACATAAAAGACAAATGAAGCTCTTGCATTTTATAAATGAAGAGAAAATATACAAACAGAATAACCTGCCAAGGTCACGATGACTATGACATGGGAGTGAGAATTCACACTCAAGTCTAACTTCAAAGTCGCTTCTCTTTCCCCCACATCACAGGCCTCCTGATAGATCTGGATACTGCAGAAGCAATGTTATCTTTTCTTCTGAAAACATCTAACAAAGCATCTCATAATCCTTGTGGGCAAGACTTGGCTAAAACAAAAAGGAGATCTGTGATGCTGGAGTAACTTTATTTCTTAATACATTTTTGTAGTTCATATGATTACACTGGTTGTGGGAAGTTGGTACATGCATGTAACATATCTTAATTCTATTTTATCCCGTTTCCCTCCCTCCATCTCTCAGTCCCCTCTTCCCTTTTGTAAGGGTTCTCTTATTTCCTATTATCTTTTATTTTACTCTTTAGTTTTTTTATTCTTTGGGTTTCTCATATAAGAAAAACTATACAACATTTAAGCTTGCATGTCTGATTTCTTTCACTTACCATTACGGTCTCTAGGTGCATCCATTTTCCTACAAATGACTCAAATTTATCCTTTATGACAAAGTAATCCTCCACTGTGTTTCAAATTTTCTCTATCGTTTCATCTGGATGGTCATATAGGCCACTTCAAGACTTAGCTATTATGAGTTGTGCTGCTATAAACACAGGTATATTGAATTTCAGTAAAGGATTTATGTCCACTAGGTAGCGGGCCCACACAGGTTGGTCTTAAAACTGTTTTGCTTCCATTATCATCAACATATACAACAATCCACTAATAACTGTTTCTCACACAAGGGGAAGAGGAGGATGGCCTGTGGTACATACAGACTGAAAACCATCCTGAGCCACCCTAAGCTCTGCATGTCTAAAGAAAAACTCATTTCTGGCCATGCATCACTGGACTATAGAGATTTCTATCTGGCCCTCTCCCCTTTCTTTCAAAGTCTTTATTAATGACATTGAGGGCATTCTTACCAAATCTTCAATGCACAAAACTATAAAGTAGCTAATCCAGACAGCAGCTTTCATGTCTTATTCTTTTTTGCATGTCTGGGACCCACTCACTTCATAACCCACAGAAGCCCAAGCAGTGTTTCACAAACTACACAATCAAGATTTAAAAGGACATTAACAGGCCTTGACCATAGGAGTAAATAAATCAAACCAATTATAACAGGTCCAGTACATTAGAGACACATAAAAATTACAAAATTAAAGAAAAGAGAATTTGAAGGATGCAACAATTTTTGAAGCAAATAGTTATTTTTTAGTCGGCAGAAAATCCAATACTAATCAATGTGACAGGTGTCTACAAAGCTCAAAATCTTTTCTACCTAAGTGACAGAAAATTATTCTCATTAAGGAAAGTGATAGCCTACACTCTCCATTCAGTTCAAATCATTCTTGGAATCATTTCTATAGCTCAAGGCATTCCACTTTTAAGAACAAAGGACACCCAACAGCTTAGTAAGCTGAGGCAGAAGGATCGAAAATTCAAAGCCAGTCTGGGCAACTTAGCAAGATGGTACAGGAGAACAAAAAACAATGCTGGGTATGGTGGTGCATGCCTGTAATCCCAGCACTGGGGAGACTGCGGTAGGAAGATCATCCTGAGTTTGAAGCCAGCCTGGGCAACACAGTGAGTTCAAGGCCAGCCTGAACTACATAGACCCTGTCTCAAAAAACAAAAAACAAAAAAGAACACCCAATAAATAAATAAGGGCTGGAGATGTAGCTCAATCAAAAGTCCTGGGTTCTAAGAAAAAAAAAAAAAGAGAGAGAGAGAAAGAAAAGGACAATGATTAAACAAAGAGTGTCTAGGTGAGATGTCCAAATAGTGAAAAGATTTAAAATAATGTAATTGGAGATCCAGTTAAAGGAATTAGAGCTGTTTACCAAAGAAAAGACTAGACTCAAAGAGATGTGATAGCTATCTTCAACTATCAGAAGGGATGTTATATGAGACCAAGACTCAAAGGGCAAAACTAGGACTGGAAACCACGGAGAAATAGATTTTGGCTTTATACACAGAAAAATCTGTTGGAAATTAGACCTGTCTAAAAATGAAATGGGTCGCCTCAGGACATACTTGGTTTTCTACTTTGTATATCAGTTCATTTCACCTCCATGATACTAGAGAAGAGAAGAGAAGAGAAGCAAGAAAAGGAAAAGGCAGATTATCACTTGGCTGAAAGAGTCAAAAGACTGAAACAGTGAATTCTTAGGTTCCTGCCAGCATTACAGTTCTTTTAAAATATGAATGAGACAGTACTTTGCAAAGCACCAAACATTTTATAAAGATAGGTAACTTGTTGATAAAAAAAGGTGAACACTTCCTCTATCTTCAGATGCATGACCTCTTCATTTTTGGAAATTAAAAGCATACAAGGTTATGTCTTATAGGTATACATACATATCAAACTTTTCTGAAAAGTCTGGTAAGAGGATTAGAGTGCTGCTTCCACATATGGGATATAACACAATCCTCAACTTTCTAACGTAATCAAGATACTGTTTATGATGAGTTATATAAATATAAAAATCAGGACTGCTGTTTTGGTTTTTTTTTTTTGGTACTGGGAATTGAACTCGGGACTCGGTCTCGATCTTGGAACCTTTGAGGCAGGTGGTGGAACCACTGAGCTAAATCCCAGGCCCAGGTATGCTGTTTTTAACACTGGAGATCCACCATAATAACTTCATCCTCTCCTGTGTGGTTTATTGTGGTTTTCCCATGTATTTAAAAATCTTTGCCTGCTTTTTATCGTTGAGGATGTTTTAGAAATGTATAACACAAGTTAGTTAAGAAAAAACCATTAAGGGGCCAGGGATTTAGCTCAGTGGTTCCAACGCTTGGCGCAAGGACCCGGAGTTTGATCCCCAGTACAAAAAAAAACAAAAAACACCATTAAGATCTCAGTCACAATGACTGTCTCTTTTATCTTAGATCCTGCACAAAGGAAAATGCTAAATGGCTTGTTTACAAATATCCAGAGGCATTGGAACCTAAATGCTCAAAAGGTGAAGTCTGACCTGAGCGCCAAGTTGAGCTTGGGCAACACTGTACCATTAAACTGTGGCACTACGACGTGACATTCACTTCTTCAGATATTATGCTTACATAGGATTAAAAACTGAGAAGTAAAAATAGAACATAGAATCAGAACCAGAGCATCTTTGTAAATTCTAGACCTAGTAGTTTAATAATAGCATCAAACATCAAATGCCACAACAATTAGGGGATTATGCATGTCATTAAATAGCATCCATGTTCTTGCACACTACACATTTACTAATTAAAATCTATTGTGCAAATTGGGGCAGTAACAATAAAGGCAGAGGGCTTACTCTGGATCCTGTCCTAAGTGCTTTTATAGAAACTTCTCCTGGCAACCCTAGGTGTTAGACACTATTAGTGTGGATATTTCAAAAGGCGATAAAACTCAAGAGACAGACAAGTTAAGCAATCTACCCAAGACCACACAGCTAGTCAGATGGACCGATGTAGGATCTGAATCTAGGCAATCAAGCCCAAAAGCTCACTAGACTTTACTGCCTTTGGCAAACTGGCTTCTTTAGAAGGGGGAAGACTACAACTCCCTCTAAAAGGGAGGCGACCGACTGCTGGTCAGTATTCACATGACGTTTCAACGTGGACTGACCCACCTCGCAGAATTAGTGACCCGCAAGTCAGATCCACACAGGCTGCAATGAAACTGCGTAACCTGTACTGCCAAGCGGTCATTTCAAAACCCCTCCAGAGGCGTCTGTTTTTCTATTCCTGTCACTCGAGAAGGACAAAATGTAACTTGCATAAACACTTTGTCATCAGCAAGAGCTGAAGTTAAAAATCACCTCGTTCGCAAAATCAAATCCGCAGCTAAGTTCCTAATTCGGCAGAAAAGAAAAAAGGGGCTGCCACTTGGAAACTGTAGGGTAAAAACACCTGGGGCCAAGCGGAAGCGCATCAAAGGGGAAAAACTAGTCCACGGACGGGAACTCCCGGACGTGCGCAGCCAGCTCGGGGGACACTGGGGACTTTTCAGGGCCTTCCACGCCCTCCCGGCAGCCTGTCCTTAGTCCACAGGCTGCCCCAACCCAGGCGAGTTCAGAAAGGCAATCGCACCTGCAGAGTGGTGATGTGCTTGTCGTTGAACTTGTTCTCGCAGTAGCGCAGCACCAGCGACGTCTTCCCCACGCAGCCTTCCCCGAGCAGCACCACCTTGAACGAGTACGCTCGCCCCGCCGCCGCCCCGCCGCCGCCGCCGCCGGCCGCAGCCATCCCGCCGCTTCCCGGCCGCCCGAGCCCCAGAACCGCGGCGGCGCCTTCACAGCCGCGGCCGCCACACCCCTCCGCAGCGGCCCGCCGACTGGGACGCCCGCTGCACCCCTCCTCGGGCGTGGTGTGGAAGGGCCCAGAAAGATTCCGAGAATGCAGGGCCCAGCACCACGTCAGGCACCCGAGGAAGGCGAAGAGCGCTCCCTCTCTGCCTCCCTCTAATGGCGTCTCCTTCCTCCTACGTCACACTTCTGGTCACGTGACCGCGGCGGGGCGGGGCGGGGCCGGGCCGGGGCGGGACCTCTGGGTCTTCCCGGGTGGTTGGAAGAGTCGAGCGCCTAGTTGAAGTCTGGGGCGCCGGCAGGGTGGCTGTGGGTCGCTGCCGCTCTGCACTTGGTGGGAGCCAGGGGAATGAGGAACCAGCGCTGCGTGGCAAGCCCAGCTCTCATGGAAAGACGTGCAGAATGTTATCGTTTTTGCCCACAGAATGTTCCGAAGGCTAATGACTCTCGCTCCAGGGGTTATTGTAAGCCAAATCCGCCAAGGTGCCCTTGAATCTTGCTCATGAAATACTCTCCTGCCAGAAAATCTGCTGGTTTTCCCTGAAAACTTGCAACTTGAAAGCTGGTGTCAGTTAGACAAACCTTTGTCATCGGACTTCTTTTACAGTACGAGTAGTGATGTAGCCACAAGCCAAGAATACTGACAGCCACCAGAACTCTGAAAAGATAGGAGCCCCTAGAGGCTCTGTCAGGAGTGTAAGGCAGCGAACAAACTAATTTCAAACTGCGGACTTCCGGATCTGAAAGAGAATAAATGTATTTTAAGCTGCAAAGTTTGATAACTTATTACAGTAGCCGTAAGAAACAAATACAGAAACATATTTGGAGAAAACAATTATGTTAGTTCAAGCATTGAAAGAAGTTTAGGCCTTTCTGGGATAGATTCTGTGCTTTTAAGTAGGATCAGTCTTGGAGTCAACAATGGTCAGTATGAACTTGATAGGGAATGGCTCAAAGAGCTAGAATTCCAGTTCCTCCATAGCCAAGAAGAGCTGCAAAAATGTGAGGACTCCTCACTGAGTACATAACTCAAAAGATTCCTGGTTGGAGAGGTTTGAGGCATGATATGGTACAAAATCATATAGTTCCTTTGTGCCAAAATAAGCTTCTACACACACACACACACACACACACACACACACACAGAATTATACAGGAGAAATTGAGCTAACAGTGAACATTTAATATAGTGTCAAGCAGGGAAGAGTGCTATAGAAAGGTAATATACTGTAATAGTTTAACAGTCTACTCTCAGACTACTTTATAAAGAAATCTTCACACTTTTTATCACACTCCTAATTGTTAGATATTTTGACATCTGGTAAACTATTGAATCTTCAGGGTCTAATATTATGCCCAGCATATGAGGCAGGATTGAAATATATGATGAACATTTAAGTCTTAAAAAAAAAAGACTATAGTTAAAGACACATTTCCATTAATTCCTCTCAAAACATTCACCTTTACTATGAATACACTTATCCTGTCATTTTTGCCAATTTCTGAAGCAGTTCTGGAAGTCCTCCTTCGTGTCTTGACAAAGTTTGAAAAAAAACAATATAGTGAATGCTGCTGCCAAGTGCCATCCAATGGAAAGGGAGGCTCCTAAAACTTTTGTGGTGGCTTCTTATTCACCTTATTCACTGGATCTGGCATTGTGTGACTTCTGACTCTTCCCTAAAGTCAAAACGTTTTGAATCATCTCAGGACAGCAAAGTGGCCACCACAGTGCAACTAAAGCCACTCACGAAAGAGGACTTCCAGAACTGCTTCAGAAAGTGGCAAGAATGATGGGGTGTGTTCAAAGTGAGAGGAAGCATTTTGAGGAGGACTAATGATAATGTGTTTTACCATAATATATTAAAGAAATTTAGACATTCACCATATTTTTATCACACTTCATATAATGGTCACTCAAATATTTCATTGCAAGAATTGAAGTAGGATCATATTTTTGATAGTTTAATGAATGGCCATTTCCCCCTAATATTTCTTTTGGGGGAGGGGGTTGAGACAGTTTCTTGCTGAGCAATTCAGGTTGGCCTTGAATTCATTATGCAGCCGAGTTGCCTCAGCCTCTGGAGTTCTGGGATTACAGGTGTCCGCTACCATGCCTGGCTCGCCCCCTAATATTTCCATGAGTCACAGGATTACCTATCCATCAAAGGAGATTGCAACAATAGAACACAGTAGAGTCAGATGTTAGGTTTTGGATTTTGATTTTCAGAAGCCAGGGATACCTATATTTAAAGCTTTAAATAGAACCCACAAAACATTGATTTGATAGGCTACAAAAGCAAACAGATTCACTGCTTGACTAATGGATATTAGTCAAGGAAAATTATGGGAAAGTATGAGTTCAACACTGGTAAATGTTCCTGTGACAGGTACTTTTCTTTCTTATCTTTTCCTTTTTCTCCAGTGCTGGGGATAGAACCAGGGTCTTGCATATTCTAGGTAAGCATTCTACCACTGAACTACGCCCCGAGTCCCTGTGGCAGATAAGGTGTGTTGCCCAAACATTCCATCCTCTTCTGCCTTACCTTACACTGCAGCAATCACATTGTAAAGCAGAGAGGGAAGTACCCACCACCAGAATGGATGAGGTCAGTGAGGGAGGGTGTAAAAGTGCAAGGATCAGAGGGGCCTAGGATGGAGTGTCTGAAGACAATGAGTTTCAAAAGCTGGGCAGAGGAAGAAGAGCTATGGAGATCCACCTAAAGTAATCAAAGTAAAACTGAAAATCAATGTCAAGGAAAAGAGAAAAAAGAAATCATGAAATGCTTTAGAGAGTTCAAGTTAAATGATTAGTAAGTGTCCACTATCTTAGCTACAAGATATGTAGTAATTGCACATCTTGGGTAGTTTTAATAGGGTGGTAGGAATTGAAATAAACTTGCAAGGCTCAGGAACTCCTTAAAGATGGTTGATTCAGTCCTGTGGTTCTCAACCAGAGGTGATTAAGTTCCCTAGGGGACATTTGCAATGTCTGGTGACACTTTGGCTACTGGCATTTAGTGGGAAGAGATAGGGGTGCAACTGAAGAGTCTACAATAACACAAAAGAGTCCCCATACAATAAAGAATTATTAAGCCCAAAATGTCAGTGAGGCCAAGCTAAGAAGCCCTGGTTCAGCATAGTTATGTATATTTTTGCAGCTCATCAAAATTATAAATCTCCTGGATGTAGTATATTATAAAGACAAATAGGAGGGCTAACAAGTAGTTAAGAGAATGAGAAATTCAAAAGTTTAAGAAACTATTTCCAACTCTGCTATTATTGCCTATGTACGTCTTTCATATAGCTATTTAAGTATTTTTCTCAGCTCCATTTCTCCATGCAGAATCATCTTGTTTCCACAAAGCACTTTTAATCCTTCACTGAACATTGCTTCCTTTTAGCAATGGTTACAGTGAATATATTCGTATTCTAATTAAATTTCCCTAAAGGGACAAAAGGAGAATTCAAAAAACACTTTTATAATCAGTTAGATAAATTCTAGTACTTACAAATACACTGTTTCTGTATAGCTGTTCTACAAACACAAGAAGTTTGGGTCAATATAGTATGATATCCAATCATTTGAAAAAGAAAAAAATTGAGTCTTAGGAGATACAGTGGAGAGGACAATAAAAGCAAAAGAAAGAAGAGAGATAAATGATTCAAGAAAAAAACCAAAAAGATTCCTGGAGCTGCCAGAGTGGAGGAAGCTGAAATTTGGAGCTTTGCAGACAGGCAGGGATTTTGAATATAGTCTGATATGTTCTACTCTGGGGGATAGAACTATGTCTGTCACATATTTGTATCTGCAGATTCTGGAACATAATGGTCTATTAATATGTATTAGTTGAAGCAAATTAATGAATGAAGCCTATAAAATACTGTACATTGGACATGAGAATTAAGAAATGCTATTGAAACATTTTCCATTTGAAGCACCCAATAAGAGTAACAATAGAAAGAATAATAAGGATTAAGTAGTGTGAGCGTTTTATGACTTAACTTCTAACAACCTTTGTTGAGTATCAGGCACAGTGGTTCTGCCTCTATGGAGCTCATGTTCTGCAGAGCCAGCAAGGGGACAGTTACAACAGGGATAATGATTGTGGTTGATGCCAACACTGTACCCAAACTCCTCCTTTCAATCCGAAGCTAGTCCCTATGCTCAGGTAACCACCCTTCTGTAGCAGCCCAGGTGCCTACAGCTTTCCATTCGTTTGAATCTCGTCTCCCTGAGGTTGTGCATAGCTTTCAAGAGCCACAATTTCTTTACTTTGAAGCAAGACTTCAGATGCTTCTCACCGGCAAGCAAAACTAAACTGTAACTATAAAAGCTGACCACAAGAGGGCACCAATAGCTCACAGAAATTTAATAGGCCGGGCATGCGGTGGGGCTTCCTACCATACTGTGAACCTGTGTATCAGCGTTGTGTAAACCTAGTACAGAAGACTCTTGCACAAGCTATGCTAAACAATGCTCAACCAGATCAATATGAGGCTCCAGATAAAGATTTTATGATCGTAGCTCTTGATTTACTCAGTGGCCTGGCTGAAGGACTTGGAGGCAACATTGAACAGCTAGTAGCCCGAAGTAACATCCTAACATTAATGTATCAGTGCATGCAGGATAAAATGCCAGAAGTTCGACAGAGTTCATTTGCTCTGTTAGGTGACCTGACTAAAGCTTGCTTTCAGCATGTTGAGCCTTTTATAGCTGATTTTATGCCAATATTGGGAACCAATCTAAATCCAGAGTTCATTTCAGTCTGCAACAATGCCACATGGGCAATTGGAGAAATTTCCATTCAAATGGGTATAGAGATGCAGCCTTATATTGCTATGGTGTTGCACCAGCTTGTAGAAATCATTAACAGACCCAACGCACCAAAGACGTTGTTAGAGAATACAGCAATAACAATTGGTCATCTTGGTTACGTTTGTCCTCAAGAGGTGGCCCCCATGCTACAGCAGTTTATAAGACCCTGGTGTACCTCTCTGAGAAACATAAGAGACAATGAGGAAAAGGATTCAGCATTCCGTGGGATTTGTACCATGATCAGTGTGAATCCCAGTGGCGTAATCCAAGATTTTATATTTTTGTGTGATGCTGTTGCATCATGGATTAACCCAAAAGATGATCTCAGAGACATGTTCTGTAAGATCCTTCATGGATTTAAAAATCAAGTTGGGGATGAAAATTGGAGGCGTTTCTCCGACCAGTTTCCTCTTCCCTTAAAAGAGCATCTTGCAGCTTTAGGCTGCAGTCCCAAAATTAGGGGTCCTCCGGTCTTGGAGACTATGAGGGAGCCTCTGTACCCAGAGAAAATGTTACCCTTGACGGGGGGGAAGGGTAAACCAGTAGGGAATACAGTACAATCCCAGCCCTA